AAAAGTAAATGACTCATTTAAAATGAAATAATATATTCAATCAGTGCAAATGAAGTTTAGCAACTCATTCTGAGTAATGTTAATTCGTAGGTTATCATCAATTAGATATCACTTCACTGTAGTTCATGTAAATCCTTTGTTGACCTTGTGTCCCACACTAACACACATTACTAAGGGGTAGAAGGATTTACAGAGCAATTTTATATCTTAATGAGATGTAGAATGTCATGATACAGTAAAAATGTAAGCAGCAGGTTATTTAACAACATGTACACATAGCACATTAATCTAACAAGCCAAGATTTACCTGGTTTTCCCCACATGATAAAAATTTCGAGCACTTCTTGCTTATTAAAAGTTCACTATCTTCTACAATGCCCATAAAAACATGATAAATGCTACACAAAATATCATAAAATCTTCAGCTGTGAAAGACAAAAAGAAATTTGAGCAAGCTGCTTCAACACCACCTTGCAGTTATACTGCTCATTTAATACACAGCTCTCTCAAGCCTGTACATATCTCATGGAAAACATTCCCCATGGAAAGAACAAAGCTATTACAATAGCAACATGGTCATACAAATACATAATATCCATAAAAAACAACTGTTCTTAAAAGGACTGGTCACTTAGATGGTCGAAACAAACACATCATTTGCTCTAATTCGAAACTCTGATCCAAACTGCTGACTTGTGAGCTAAGACTGAAAGTTGGCCCATTAAACAGTTAAGATTTATTATGAAAAGCTGCTTATACCATGCATCATTAACATTTCTATGAATATCATACCCGTAACACTATATAGCTTTACTGCATCTTTACTTATTCGAAGATACTATGCCGCTTTTCCTCACAATGAGTAGTATCTTGTTGATAAGACCTTCTGGCACCAAGGTTTGCTGTGAATAAAACATCACTTAACCCCAAGTAAAACTGACAGAATTAGGGCTAAAAATATTGCTTTAATGTGCTATCTGCTGCATGTCCCTTAAAAATAATGTAAATGTGTAAAAGAATTGCCTATAGTCTGATAGTATTCATTGAAAACAAAAATCCACTATGATTCTTGAGCGTGAAATACATATTAACAGTTTAATATAAAAGCTGAAGTTTGAATAAACACTGGTTTGTTTTTTCTAAGATTTATCCAATCAGAGCTTCAACACTTCCATTTCAAAGGCTGAAGTGGAAAAAACCAAAACAAAACATTTACAAGTACTTCCCCAGAAATACGTTTCTCTAAGATTCACTGATATAAAAGACCCATACATATGGTTTTCAGAATTTATCATGAGACAACAAAAATAGACAACAAAATAATTGAAAACAAAGATCAAAAAAAGCAACCCTATACAAATTCCTAGTCACAGAAAAAACAGATGTTCAAAAATGTTTGGGGTTGGTTGTTTTTTTTTAAAAAGCAAGAAGAAATGTAGTATAAACATCTCTTATGCATGGAAAACAGCACCTTAGTCCTGAAGCATACATAACGGTAAATTTGGAATAATGTAATATTCAAGGTGACTATACAGTACCAGAATTAATTCTAGTTCGAAGTTATTCGCAATATACCTGATTCAATACAACGCAAAACTGCAGTGGCAATTTTTTCTCATCAACTCAGCACAGATTGATCACGGAGCTGAAGGCCCGCAGGACCAACAGTCAGAGATGGATCTCAAATTCCCATATGGCATTAGTGAAAAAGAAATAAGATCAGCTTTTGAATTTTAAAACAGATGTACTTCAACAGTGAAAAACAAAGCATAAATATGTAATTACGGAAGAAAAAATACTGCTAAAATTACTTTTTTTTTTTTAAATCTCAGATTGATGACCAAAGCATCTCATTTTCTTGGAAAAGTCTTCTCCACCTATTTTCACTGGCAAGGAGTTTTTAAAACGTTTACATCAGGGCAGAAAACTATGCCCACACAAGAACTTTCAAACCAGACTTAGTGCTAAGTTCATTTTGCGTTATTTTATACATTCATTTATCCACCTTATGAGAAAAGTTTCCTGTATCATTTATTAGCATTATCTAAAAACAGTAGCAAGTGTGTAAGACTAACTGCTATATCTGCATACATGTATATGCATAGTTAAACAAATTCAATAACTATGAATTGTTTTATAAAACAGTAAAATATACTAGGAATAGGATAAAATATCACTGCGACCTAAAGCAAATACACCATTTGGCCACAAGAATTAGCTTCCAATTCTGCAGGTCTCACCTTACACATAGAAATAAGCAAACTGATTAGTTGCAGGGATTTATAAGGATTGTTTCTTCCTCCTGTTCCATTCTCCCTCCCACCTCAGTAGCACTTCTGCTTCTCTAGCTTATGCTGTAACAGACACATATACTAATAAACTTGTAAGTCTTTCCATTCGATACACTTGAATATCTCTTCTTCACATGGCACTGTCATTCTGCCCTGGCTCACAAGTTAATCACTTGTTGGCTGCCAGCACTGGCATGCTATGTACAGCTTACAAGGGTATATGGGTAAATAAGAACAATGGTATCATTCAGCAAATGAGTTTGGTGACCTCCAACTTACAGAGCATCCCTCCTCTTCTACATAGAAAGTGGCAGTACTATTAGAGTATTCTAGCATTAAGTTAGATTTTGATCACTTATATTTTAGCGCTAGTGTATCAATCCCTTTTTTTAAATAAAATTATGACTGTCAGCATTTACTGTTAGGATGCCTTTCTAGATCCCATTAAGGCTAATTCCAAACAAAATAGAATGGAATTATTTAGTGCAAAAAGTTTCCATTATTTATCCCTTTCATCAATCATTTAAAGACTTCATGGCAGCAACTGAAAACATTCATGTTGATCTTACAAAGAGTAGACAATACATTATGCATGCTGCCCACTGATTTATCCTTTCACAAAGTCTCCTGCAGGCCACTTACCAATACTGACACTCGCTAAAATATAAATAGAAGTGTTTCTAGAATATATAAATAAATAATAATTGCCTATGGTTCAAACCAGCAGACTGTTAAAACCAATATCCTGTGTGACATTAGCTGGTACCAGACACTTCAGAGAAATGTATTCTTGAGTGGACTGCTCTGAAGCAGTACATCCATTATTGAAGAGTCTTCCTAAACGCTTTCTTAGGCTGGCTTATCTATGGAAGTATTTGGCTTTTGTCATGCTTAAAACAAAATCCGCTCCAGTGCCCCCCCAACTACATACACTGCCTATACAAATAGCTATTAAATCCTATTTGGTCTTCAATTAGAATCATTTTGTAGCAACAAGCCTTACAACACCGCCTTTTTAGGAAGTCAAGGACAAACTGCACTTCACATAACTTCCGTGAGACACTAGCACAGATTGCCCAAACAAGTTGTGGATGCCCCATCACTGGAAGTATTCAAGGTCAGGCTGGACAGGGCTTTGAGCAACTAGTGAAAGATGTCCCTACCCATGGGGGATGTTGGACTAGGTGACGTTTAAAGGTCCCTTCCAACCCAAACCATTCTATGATTCTGAAGTCGACTTGCCAGTCTAAGACCACTAGCAAGGTTTGCCTACAACACAGAGAGCAGTGAGTTTCTGAATATTAGAACTCCTCAGGTTTGGTTCTAGGACAAATTCCTATTTCAAGAAGGCAACTTCAAATGTACAAGCAACGTCAACAAGTTCCGCAGGATTATCCATGTGCAAATTATTCATGAATAAGCACTTACAGAATCAAGATCTTAGCATTTACAAGAAGAATCATTTTTGCTTGCATTTCTTAACAAGTAATAGAAAAGATAGGATGAATTTTAAATTGTTCTAAGGGCAATTTTATTGCTATGATAAACACCCCACTTAAATAACGGCCAGTTATTTTCCAATGAACTGTGCAAATAATTATTTTGTTAGTCAATTATCAGGATGATAACTATTGCATTTTATGGTCAAAGAAAAAACAAACACCGAAACCCTAAAAAACCACCACCCAAACCAAAATCCAACTTAATCAAAACTCTCCAGCAGCAACAGCTTGTACTGTGCTATTTAACTGGCTTTACTCCAGTAGCTTAAATTTAAGAGTCAGCTTTATAGAGAAATGCAGTAAAAGAAAACTGGGAAAAAAATCCCACACCTACAGCTGTCACCTAAAATTAAACACAACATTTTTCTCCAAATCCCAAGTGTACTTTCAAAAAGGTGCCATGTGATCATATTTAGCTACTGCACTGCAGTTAAGAACATGTTTAATCTACAACAGATAAACTAAATTCTTTCATTCAAACAAGTTAAAAAAAATTAACAAAGGTGAAAACCAGGTATAATTACCTGCAAGTCTCAAAACAGTAATTATTTATTTCACTTTAAGAGCAACCTATAACTTAGGAACATTTTCTTTTTGCCCCATTATAATTTGCAACATAGGCAAAAAGAAATCAACTACACATATTTTGGAGGGGGAAAAACCCCACCCGAAAATAGACAGATTGGTGTTAGATAGAATAATTCTATGTAGAGAGATGTGCACTATTGGAATAGTACCAACAAGCCGGCTTGTGCAAAACAGTAGGTGATCTTAACCATCTCCAAGGAGATTGATTAAATGGCTCCAATCCAGTTTAAAACGCCTATCATTTTACTGAGATACTCAGCAAACATGACAACAATATTCCATGCCTGTAGCAATTTTTTTTTTTAAAATAGAACTGGGGCAAATTTTAAAGTTGTTATAACACATAAATTATAAAGAACCAAAAATACTTTTAAAAAAATAGTTACGAAGAAGTATATTCATAATATCACATACCACTCCTCGTTAAAAAGGTCCTGCATTAAGCAAATGTACTTATTTCAACAACCAGGATGAGGCATTAAGATTAGATAATTGGATGCTATTCTTGAAAGTTTACTTATTTTACTTGTATTAACATAGTTACAGAATGGGATTAACTATTTTTGGCACATATAAAATAAACAGCATGCAAGAAAGTAAACAATAAAAATGTACTTACGAAATCAAAGTCTCCATCTTGAGGGACTTTCCAGTTATCAGGGAAAACGTTTTTGGATATGTGGTAAGATTCATGCATGCTCTGATTACAGTTTTCAGGGCTTTTATTCTTGGAATCTTGTTTATCAAAGTAGTCCATGAAAGAAGGTCTTTGAACTTGCGGTGAAGTAGCATTTCCTTAGTTGAAAGAAAAAAGAAACAAAAATTAAAGATTTACTGCACTATAAAATAAACTCTATTTATTAATTTTCTTGGATTTTACAGAAACTAATACAGTCATCTGCATGTGGTGCAAGCCTCCGCTTGTCCCCTGAGGATCTTTGGCATAAAAGCTCATAGCCGAAGAATGATATTTTTGTAGCAATATACAATGTGGAGAAATGTTCAAGACATTTCAGAGTTGCACACACAAATAATATTAGAAGTTACTTAATGCGATATCTATTTGTTGTTATAGAGACTGAATAACACTAGGTGCTAAGCATCCCTTTGGGTGCTGAATGCCCCTAACTTCAAGGCCTGGTCCACAGGCACTTGTAGGAAAGCAACAGAGTTCCCTCAGTTCCACCAAAGGTGTGATTTAAAAACTATTTAGAAAAAGAGTTTGCAAAAAACAACCGCACAAACTGTGTCTAGATACTGCTTAATTGAATTCATTACCAATGAGGATTCTCAGCAAATTATGGAATCACACTCTACAGATGGCTGCAAAGCACCCTATCTCCATGGTGTGGAAACCCTGGGGGATTTTTGTCTTCATCTATGCAGCTGCAAAAGCTTTACGAAGCAGATTGAGATCAGCGTGAACTTCCGTTCTATTATCCTTTTCATTAAATGTAAAAAAATTTATCTACAACCCTAAATGACTGAAATTTGTTTTCATTTGTGGGATTTCAAAGCAAATTCATTACTAAATAGAACAATAAATAAAACATAAGAAATGCTTTAGTAGTTCTACATAACTGTCACCTCAGAGACTATATTCTGCATAGTATTGACTCATGAAACATGTACTTGCTTGCAGTGCAACACATTCTAGATAGAGAAATATGAAATACATTTCCACAAGTAAAGTATGAAACAGGATGAGAGATAAAATAACCAAGCTGGAATAAAGAAAAAAGAAAAAAAAAACCAACAAACCAAAAAACAACCCACAGGTAGAACTATACTTTTTAATTAAGCATAATGAAATAATTAGGAATTTTTATTTGAACCACTTGTTTTAACAAGTGAAAAGGTAAACCACTGGAAATATCTTTTGAGCTTGTGTTTAACATGATCACTAGGACTTGCTGATCTTATCTCGCTTTACATTTGTTTTTATTAATTCATTAAGTGGGTTTTTTTCCCCTCCTCTTTCACCTCTTATTTCATCATCTCTTCCCATTCCCTCTGTCTAAAGATTTTTTTAATTCATTCTAATTTTGCTGCACGATTAATAGCAGCCTATTTTTTCCATTAATGCTTATTTTCGTACTGCCATCTTCTATAGCATGTTGATTTATTTGTTCTTTTCTTTCTGCTTTTTCTACATTATTCTGTTCTAGTAAGATTTCTTCTGGCTTTTTTAAAGTGTTCTTCTACTGTCTTGCTCTAGGCTTTACTGCACTTGACTCCAGCTGCTTCTCTTCAACACCACAATGACTCCTCCATTCAGTCTGGCACATTTCCATACACACCTTCTCCTCCTCACATTTTTTAAACTGATTTTTCTCTTAGCTGTTGCCATGTTCTTTTCTAATATTCTTTTCTAATCCCAGATCATCGTTGTCTCTACTCACTGTCTTTTAATTAATGACAACCACAACCATAACAAAAACACTCCGTGAACTAAACTCCAGGTTGAATTTAATAGACCACATGGGAGATTCTGGAGAAGAGGTATCTGCTAAGTTTGCCCCCACTAAACTCAAGATCACTTGAATGAGGTTTCTGGATCTCTTGAGTCTGGGACTGAGGAAGGGATGAGAAGTAAACAGCAGGGATGCCAAATAACTACAGAAATAAGCACTAAAGGGCAAAAATGGAATAATCTAAACTTTAGCAAAGCATAAATTTAGAAAACAGATCCAAGAGAAGGTAGTTGTATGAAGAAGGTGGAATTAAAAACAGAAATACAATGCATTTTCTTAATACAAACTTTTTATTACTTGCTGATCGCTGCCCAAAAACCCTGAAACTATTTGTACCAAAGAGATAGGACACCACATTGCTGGCTTTTCACAACCAATTTCTTTCTTCTGCTGAGATGGCTGTACTTATGTTTCATCCTTGAAACATACTTATAAACAAGATTACAGTGTCTGTTAGAAACTCTAAGTAATGGGCCAACATTTTGGTACAGGTAAGATAGTCTCCCTCCTTTCATGTAACAGAAAATCCTAAACGTTTTCCAAGCACTGCTCTTAAGTTTTAGAGCTATTTATATCTTCCTTATATATGTAATAGAAGACTGCTTACATATATAAAACAAACCAACCCCTCCAAATTCCTTGCTATCAAATGCATATTAAGGAAAGTGGGTCAACAGGATAGAAATTACTCCTAAATGAGCAAAGCACATTTATTTTACACTTGGAGGACTTGTTCTATTTGTTTTGATAAATAAGAATATAGAATTCACTTCTGATCCCAACTTAGTGTACAGTCAGTTAACCCATTTAAAACAACAAGAGCTGCTTACCTTCACTGCAAATATAAAAACTCACACAAAAAACCAGAAGTATTATGCCTGCAAAATGATGGGACCAGAGGTGTTTCAAGGTTTGTTTATTCTTTCCCCAATGCAAAAAAGTTTAAAGACCCCGTGAAGGCTCCTACCTCTTTTGGATTGACTTTACAAAACACTCAGGCTCTTTATGCCAGAGTAAACTGATGTAGCTTGCACATTTTTGCAAAGTGTAAGGTTATTAGAAGATCATTTTGGCCTGAAAGCACTTTTTCTAACTTTCGTGAACAACAGAGTAACAGTATCTTGTTAACTGTCTTTCAAGAACCAAGAAATTTAGAAGTACAATACATAAAGATTCCTTTAAGGACAATTAATTCACTCAACTATCCAGTCAGTTACTTTTTACACAAGCTATATATTTGCCGAAAAAAATCTTGCACTGAAAACCTACTGTGCAACAGATTGTCCCATTCTAGGAGGATATGGGTTTTCCAGTTCTTCTCATTTTTCTTTGCTCTTCAACAAAAGATGATCATGTTTAATAATGTTTGCCACAGTTTCAACATTTAAGAATATCAGCCTCTTATCATCCCTATACTTGCCCACTGCAGGACTTAAAGATGGCTTTGGGAAGAAAGCCACAATAAAAACAGCAGTCTGAGAAGTTGCTGGCAAGCCACGAGACCACAATGGACACTGAAAACATACGTTCTACCTCAGCAATACCCCTGATAGGAATACAGCCAATGGGGATGCCCTCAAATAGTCACATAAGAGGATTTCTTCTGAAAAGTATGCTGGATAAAATGAATGAGGCAATGACATAACACCAACTCTATTACATTGTTTCAAAAACATATCATAACTAAAATAAATAATTCTAAACACACATTTCAAAATAAGAAGGAACATGCATTCCGTTCTAATGCATGTTTTAATCAAATTCAACTGATGTCATCTATAAAGAAAAATGCTTTTGTAGTGATGTATTTCCAACAGAAAAGTATTATATTAATATTAAATTGATTTTAAATCTGTTAAAGAGTTCTGCTGTTAGTTGTTAAATTTTTATACTCCATGTTGGGCTGAGCCACGTATACGTTCCCCCACGCTGGTCTGACTAACTCAGGGCCAGCTCGCTGGCAAAAAAACACTTTTGCATTACTTTGTCAGGTGGAACCCATCTCTCCACAGCAGTCCCTGATCCTCAAAGAGGGCCCCATGGTCATAAAAGTCAAACCTCTGTCAACAACACTAGAGGCACAACCAAGTGTTGACCCATAGGATCTAACCACTCCTCCAAGGCTTTCCCTTCACCATCATGATCAAGAACACCCTCGTAACCCTGGAGTTACTCTTGAGGTCTGTTGTGGTTTAACCTCAGCCAGCAACTAAGCACCACACAGCCGCTCGCTCACTTCCCCCCCCAGTGGGATGGGGGAGAGAATCAGAAGGGTAAAAGCGAGAAAACTCATGGGTTGAGATAAAGACAGTTTAATAGGTAAAGCAAAAGCCACGTGCACAAGCAAAGCAAACCAAGGAATTCATTCACTACTTCCCATGGGCAGGCAGGTGTTCAGCCATCTCCAGGAAAGCAGGGCTCCCTCACGCGTAATGGTTGCTTGGGAAGACAAATGCCATCACTCCAAACGTCATCCCCCCCCCTTCCTTCTTCTTTCCCCAGCTTTATATGCTGAGCATGACGTCACATGGTATAGAATATCCCTTTGGCCAGCTGGGGTCAGCTGTCCTGGCTGTGCCCCCCTCCCAGCCCCCCGGGCACCTGCAGCCCTCCCAGTCGGCAGAGCACGGGAAGCTGAAAAGTCCTTGACTAGTGTAAGCACTACTTAGCAACAACTAAAACATCGGTGTGTTGTCAACTTTGTTCTGGTCCTAAATCCAAAACATAGCCCCATACTAGTTACTATGAACAAAATGAACTCTATCCCTGCCGAAACCAGGACAAGGTCACTCTCCAGGTCTCCTCTGGCAGTATCATTGGCACGTGCCCACGTGGATGGGCAGCAGGAGACAATAGTCTAAGCACTGGACAAGCCCTCGCAGTCTTTCAATGTTGTAGGGCTGGGCCCTGGGCAAGAAATAACTTTTCCTAGATAACAAGTAAGGTCAGCAGATAAGGGCGTCCACCTCCTACAGAAGGGAGTCTCCCACTACAATTTCCTGGGAGGGGGCGGGTGGTGGTGGTGGTGTTTTGTTTGTTTGTGGTTTGGGGGGGGGGGGGGGGGGGGTGTTTTTTTTTTTTTTACAGGGGGGGTAGTTTGTTTTTTTTACAATTTCCTATGGGAAGTGTCTAAGTTTTTCTCTCACTCCATTACTACCAGGGCACTGGACCTCTTCCGCAGCTGCAAATCTAGAGGAAAGCTTTCCTCCTTTTGCTAAAAGCCACAAGCTTCCACAGCCTTCCCCATCCTGGAGATCTCCACCTGCCACTCAATTGAGGAACATTTCCAGCTGCTGCCTCTTCAGTGAAGTTAGGGGATCA